ATCATATGGGTGGGGCATTGTGATGTCACATGGGGGGTGGCAAACTTTACTTTTGCCTAGGGCGGCAAAAATCCTTGCACCGACCCTGCAGACACTGCATCCCTGTGGGCGGACTCGGTGGGGGGGGACAGGGGACGGACTCGGGTGCAGGCACCGGGGGGCCCAGACCTTGAGCTGTGTCAGGGGCCCCAAAATTTCTGATGGCAGCCCTGCTGGTAGTCTTAATGTAACCAACTGCTATGTGTGTGGAGGTACTAATATGGGAGACCAATGGCCTTGGGAAGCAAAGGAGGTAATGTATTCTGGTTCTGAGACAGTTGAACAACTAATATCTTCTCAATCTGATTATCAAGTGAGTGTTAGAGGTAAATCTGAGTGGCGATTAAAGACCTCCATTATAGGTTATGTTTGTATAGCAAGGAAAGGAATAATGTTTAATACATCTTTAGGAGAATTGACTTGTTTAGGGCAGAAAGCCTATAATGACGATACCAAGGATACTATTTGGTGGTCAGCTTCAAATGTCTCAGAACCGTCTAATCCGTTTGCAAATTATACCAATTTAAAGGATGTATGGTTTGACCTATCTGCTACATCTAGTTGGAAAGCCCCAGTAAATTTGTACTGGATTTGTGGTAAGAAAGCATATTCGGAGTTACCACAGGACTGGGAAGGGGCCTGTGTATTGGGTATGCTCAAACCATCCTTCTTCTTGTTGCCAATTGAAACAGGAGAGACTTTGGGAGTTAAAGTATATGATGTAAATCATAGGAAGAAAAGGGCACCCCTAGAGATAGGTACCTGGAAGATGATGAGTGGCCTCCCCAGCGTATTATAGAATATTATGGGCCAGCTACGTGGGCAGAGGATGGTACTTATGGATACAGAACCCCAATACTGTATATATGCTTAATCATATTATAAGATTGCAAGCAGTAGTTGAGATAGTTACCAATGAAACATCACAAGCGCCCAATCTCCTAGTGAAGCATAACACTAGGATGAGGACAGCCATCTACAATAATAGATTAGCTTTGGATTACCTATTGGCAGTAGAGGGAGGTGTATGTGGGAAGTTTAATCTAAGCAATTGTTGTCTTCAAATAGATGATGAAGGGCAAGCAATAGCTGAGCTTACTAGCCATATGGTTAAGCTAGCACATGTACCTACTCAGGTATGGAAAGGGTATAGTCCGAGTAGTTGGTTTGGTAGTTGGTATGAGCAGTTTGGAGGAATCAAGGCATTGGTAGGTAGAGTCATACTGATTTTGATGTTGTGTCTCCTTCTGCCATGTCTGATTCCTTTGGTAATTAGGTCTATGCAGAGCATTATAGAAAGTATAGCAGAAAAAAAGGCCGCAGCACAGGTAATGGCTGTTTGCAGGTATGAAGCTCTAGATCAAGGAGAATACATGCAGGAAGAGGAATGTTGAGGGGTTCGTATATTTAGAGGATCGCAAAGTCTAGTCTGGTTTATGGCAACTTGAGGTGTAAGCAAACTATGATTGGTGATGCATCTGGAATTATTTTAAATCAGAAGCATCAAAGGGGGGAATGTGATGGAATTCCAGTAAAATAAAAGTTTAGCAGGCCAAGATTGCCACAAGGCATATGTAGGTACATGTGTTTGTAGTATCAGTTAGTTAGTTACACGTAGCTAAGATACTGTCATCACTGTACTGAGCATGTGCAGGAATGCAGGAACTGGAATTACGCATCCCTCTCCTTTGTTTCAGATGGGCCACGTGGTTAGACCGGATGGATGAGTTTAGACTCTATTCATTGATTAGGTTAAGGGTATGTGTGGGCGTAGCTAATTATGGGAGGAGCTACTGTGCTATATAAGGAATGTACTCTATGTATTCAGTGCTCAGATCTTTGCTGTTTTTGGTGACATAAGTCCCTCTGAGTCTCGGTCGGTGAATCGAATAAAGATCTCTTCCTTCCTGAAGAAACTTATGTCCATCTCTCTGTGCTTGGCCTCCGTCAGTTTCCCGGTAACAATAAGGCTATATTATATTATCTTAGTTTCTTGCTAGTATTCTGATTTACCCTATGTTAGTTTAGAACTTTGTTTTGCCATATGATATTGCAGATTACCATGATTTCCTAGAAGTTTACAATACTATCTGCCACTATGCACAGGCCCAACACAATAAGCAAATATCATCGACCTATTTTACAAACGAGGTAATACCACTTTAAGACATGCTCCTGCATACATTAAATCTTGTTTTAGCGTGTACTAATTTAGAGGACACACCATGTATCCTCCCAGCACACCCTCTAGGTGTAGACTAACCCAAGCCTGCTTATCTCACTAAATGTCAAACTTTTCAGTATTTAGCATGTACCACAAATGTATAACACAGACTCACAGTGCCATCGCAGATAGAAAAACGAATACATTTCATATGTTATGACAAATGCACTGTTTTAACTTTCTTTTAACTTACGTTAAAAAAAAAAAAGTTCTGTTTATTCTTATGCAACGCCATGCCTATTATGCTTGTTATCATACTACTTGTGACTGCTTTTGGGGCAGAGCAGGTATACTGTTATTTCATGCACAATGAAAAATAAAGAATAAAAAAAAGTGTTCCTCTTGCTACCAGCCCCACCACCATGTGCAGGTAGGCTTTAAAATGTTCCTTCCATATGCATTCCCTAACCACCAACAACACCACCTCCATGTGAATCTGGGATTTACAAGTCATTATTTTACTCAATGGGCTTTCTCTAACATCCCCATCACCAACACCATGGGCAGCTATGATTTAATTTTATAACATGACAGGAGGCTTCGTATTTGTTTAAGTCTCTCTTTACTAGAACTCCACAGCAGCACAGAAAAAAACAACCAATCAGAAAAATGTTATTTACTATAAAGCTCTCCTCCCACCATACATCATTTCCTCTTTCTTTGCTGCTTTGCATCAGTACAGGTCAGAGTACCACTGCCTCCTGCTATTATTAGTTGGTGGCTGTATGATTTTATTATATTTACAGTGTTTTACTTATTTTATTATCTGGGGACTTTTTTGTGTGATTAGCTTTATACCCCTCTGACTATTGCTCTGGGGTTTGTGGGTAGTTTGTGTTCCTCTGGTTTTCTATACTAATCCTCTGGGGATGCTTCCCCCTTTCTGTCCCCTTATATCTCCATTTTGTAAATATCCCATTTTCGGCTTTGCGGGTACTTTGCCGCTCGTGGGTTTCAGGAGGCTGGCCTGTTCTGCCTCCTCCGACCTCCCAAGCTCCAGGACCGCGGAGTATGCCTCCAGCGGTCCTTTCAGTGTCCCATCTGTGGTTTGTTTCCCTCCGGTCGAGGGGCGCTGTGTTATCACTTGCGCCCGCCGACCGGAGCCTCTGCACGTGGCCAGCTCAATCCATGGACCGCCTGTGTCCACAGGAAGAAGAGGGAGCCATAAAGCACCATGTCACACCTGTTTTTTTTTTTTCTCCAATTACTGGGTGCTGTGAGATCGCTCACACCCGCTGACCGAAGCCTCGGCATGACCGGCTTTCTTTCCACTCTTCTGCTGGTCCTTCTGTAGATTTTGTTAATAGGCTATTGTACTTGTTTTGTACCTACAGCAAGTTAACACTTGGTCTATTCACTAAACATTGCGTTATTGGTAACTAAATACTATGCAAAATTGTCATACTTGGCTGTCTTAAGTTTAACAGCTTGATTTTCTATTCTCTTATGTGCTTTGGGTTTTCTGTACCTGTTTTTCCTTTTGTGCTTTAAACAAGCAGTAACAGATGTCACCATTTTTTACACTTCCTTACAACCATGTGACAGTTTTTCAGGTGACCATTTCAGACTTTTATGTTTTCCTTGGCCCTGCATCAGATTTTACCCAAACCAGTCTCCATAGACCCATTTTAGATATAATACTGAAGAACTAGCTTGGGATGCAGTTTTGATACTATTTTATCTGTACTACACTGGGATGGGATACTCCAGTGTCCAGTGACTACAGGGCATTTGGGGGACTGCCTGAATTCTTACTTTAGTGCTCTTACCACACTTTCACACTACCAGGAAGCTTTGGTATATCGAGTGGGTTGTACACCTAATTCCCCCCAAGATTCTATATATATACACACACATTATATATAAATAAAAGGCGGCTTTGCCCACGCAGATTGGCTCCCCTGCTGCTGGCAGATCACAGCTCCTGTGAGTGGCCTTCTCTGTCTGTGCCCTATTGATTGGCCTGCTATGTCTGTGCCCCATTGATTGGCCTGCTATGTCTGTGCCCATTGGATTGGCCTACTCTGACTGTGCCCATTTTTTTGGCCAGCTACGTCTGTAGACTGACGTTAGTCTGTGCCCAAACCCTGTTTTGGCCGCAGGCCTGGGGGAATGTTACTGAGGAAAACCAGTACGCACTATTGACACAGCTGCCATATGTCCTGAGGTGACAACGGTATCCAGGCACATACAGGGAGTGCAGAATTATTAGGCAAATGAGTATTTTGACCACATCATCCTCTTTATGCATGTTGTCTTACTCCAAGCTGTATAGGCTCGAAAGCCTACTACCAATTAAGCATATTAGGTGATGTGCATCTCTGTAATGAGAAGGGGTGTGGTCTAATGACATCAACACCCTATATCAGGTGTGCATAATTATTAGGCAACTTCCTTTCCTTTGGCAAAATGGGTCAAAAGAAGGACTTGACAGGCTCAGAAAAGTCAAAAATAGTGAGATATCTTGCAGAGGGATGCAGCACTCTTAAAATTGCAAAGCTTCTGAAGCGTGATCATCGAACAATCAAGCGTTTCATTCAAAATAGTCAACAGGGTCGCAAGAAGCGTGTGGAAAAACCAAGGCGCAAAATAACTGCCCATGAACTGAGAAAAGTCAAGCGTGCAGCTGCCACGATGCCACTTGCCACCAGTTTGGCCATATTTCAGAGCTGCAACATCACTGGAGTGCCCAAAAGCACAAGGTGTGCAATACTCAGAGACATGGCCAAGGTAAGAAAGGCTGAAAGACGACCACCACTGAACAAGACACACAAGCTGAAACGTCAAGACTGGGCCAAGAAATATCTCAAGACTGATTTTTCTAAGGTTTTATGGACTGATGAAGTGAGAGTGAGTCTTGATGGGCCAGATGGATGGGCCCGTGGCTGGATTGGTAAAGGGCAGAGCGCTCCAGTCCGACTCAGACACCAGCAAGGTGGAGGTGGAGTACTGGTTTGGGCTGGAATCATCAAAGATGAGCTTGTGGGACCTTTTCGGGTTGAGGATGGAGTCAAGCTCAACTCCCAGTCCTACTGCCAGTTCCTGGAAGACACCTTCTTCAAGCAGTGGTACAGGAAGAAGTCTGCATCCTTCAAGAAAAACATGATTTTCATGCAGGACAATGCTCCATCACACGCGTCCAAGTACTCCACAGCGTGGCTGGCAAGAAAGGGTATAAAAGAAGAAAATCTAATGACATGGCCTCCTTGTTCACCTGATCTGAACCCCATTGAGAACCTGTGGTCCATCATCAAATGTGAGATTTACAAGGAGGGAAAACAGTACACCTCTCTGAACAGTGTCTGGGAGGCTGTGGTTGCTGCTGCACGCAATGTTGATGGTGAACAGATCAAAACACTGACAGAATCCATGGATGGCAGGCTTTTGAGTGTCCTTGCAAAGAAAGGTGGCTATATTGGTCACTGATTTGTTTTTGTTTTGTTTTTGAATGTCAGAAAT